AGATAGGGAAAAAGACAAGAAAATACCTTTAAATGTCCAAAATCCCATATTAGTGCCAGTGAAAACTAAAAGCTCAAGTCAGAACAGGGATACTAATTTGGTCTTTCTAAATATTGGCAAAAGACAAGCTTGTTAGTGTAGTTTGATGATATAAAGGTATTGTCAATCGATACGAAAGAGTTATCAACGCACCTAATAACGGGATAATTAACATGTATTTGCCTAAGTTTCATGATTAGTTTGTCCAATAATAAATTTTGCTAACTTTTTTTTTTGGTCAAATAATAAATTTTGCTAACTACTTGTTGTTTATAAAAAAAATTGTTGCCAATCTATTTGAAAGAGTTGTAACAGTCCTAATCAATTGACAGCATATGATTTGCCTAATTTGCTAATTAGTTTACCTTGTAATGAATTTTCTTGATTATTTGTTGTTACTACAGATAAAAGCATTGTTAATTTATTTGAAAAAATTGTCAACACGTCTAACAAAGTTGAAATCAATTTTCATGATTACATGTTGTCAATATATTTAAAAGTGTTGTTAGTCTATTCCGAAAAGTTGTCAATGTGCCTAACAAAGTTATTAATCTATTTATGTGATGGCAATTGGTGTGCCTATTATGAATTTTCCTCGTCACTTGTAATGAGTATATATAAATCTGTTGTTAACCAATAAATATCACATAATTCAAGTGGTATCTTTCAAATACAAATAGTCACCAGATACCACGTAGTTGTCAAAATGTTTGATAAAATAGTAAACACCTAATTTATAAATTGTCATTACATGAATCCAACTAGAAAGAACCCTGCTCATTATTTGGATAAGTGCTACAACTTTGTTGTCTGTTTTTCTTGTTCAAGCAACTTGAAAGCTTCATTTTGTTTTTGTTAACAATTTTCATCATAGTTAACTAGTAACCATGGGAGGTCAGTTCTAGATGCATTCACTTGTTCATTTGTATATTCCAATGCCACATTTGGTCCTATTTATTTAATCATATCAACATATGCTCACTACAGTCTCTCCTGAATAGAAAAATCAAGTAATTAATTCCAAGTTCATCAAAAAGGTTATGCATGCTTTTCAAACTCTTTGCTATGAATTTGGGAACAATTATTTAGAAGAAGAATAATCAACTATCTAAACACCAAATTAATAGCATTACATGAAACATTTTCAGACAGCAAACTACATATACAAGACAACATCAACCTACTAGAGCAAAATATACCAACTAGCCAACAAACAACACCAAGTTTTCTGGTAGTGCTTTAACCCTTGCTATACTTGATTTGACTCACTAGCTAGTAACTATAACTTCACAGCAAATAATCATACTAGATAAGCCTTTACTCACTTTTAACAAATAATTACAAGTTCGAATTTTTTTTTTGTATTATTGGTGAATTTCTGAAATAAATACATGATTAACTACAATGTAATAATAGATGACAAAAAAATTAATGAGTCAATGACAGATAAATGTTTCAAGATTTCCATTAATAGCATTACTCACTATGGCTCCTCAATCCACGAAGTTCATCAAATTACTAATACAATATCATTAAAAAGGCATCTAACTATATTTTTACCATGCTCCGATTATAATTATGATGTGACACAATTTCATTATAGATTTACCGATAAAGTCCTACATTTATAAGAATGAGGGATATGCAATCCAGTTCAAATTAGATGTTAACAAGTGCCTGTTATAAATAACAACTCATTAGGTATTACAAAGTTCATATTAAATATTGATCAATAACCAAACAAGCTCATGGCAATGCACAGTATTGGAGTAAAACCTTTCACCATATCAAATGGTAACTAAACAACAAGTTCTCACAACCACTTTATGCTTTCAATATATTACATTTTGATTCACCATACATGGCTTACACTATGAATAAGGCACAACCATTCCCCTTCTCTAATATAAAAAACAGTTGAACCAGTAACCATAGAAGATATGAGTGACAGAACAAAATAGAAAATTGAAAGATGGCCTAATTTAAATCAAGCCACATTGTTTTTCAGCTGATAGTCATTAAATTTGTTGTTGAACTCAAAATCATTAAACTCTAATAGTATCAATAAGAACATATTATTTTAGCCATTTCACTAATCATGGCTTGATTTTTTCTTTTTTAATTAATGAAGTACATGGAGTGGGTATGGGAGCATAACTTTGCTCTGTACTGCTCAGTTGTACTGGTTGGCAACTGTAGTCATAAAAGCCAGAGGAGAAGCAACACACCAATAAAGCTCTCAACAATTGGCTACACAAGCTTCAAGATGCAGTTCACTTCGCACCCCTCCAACCTTTGCCTTCTTCTCTGGCGAGCAATTGAAGATTGGAACCAAGCTTTAGTGCAAGAGGAAAGGGTTTCATTAAAAATCAAGGTGAGGAAAAATCAAGCATTCTAAGATAGTTAATCTGGCTGGATAGAGGTGGTGGGTTTGCTGTGGAAGAGAGATCAAAAGAGTGAGGAGAGGACAAAGTTGGTGAGGTTGTTGAGACAGAGGGTGAGTAGGTGACGAAAAAAGCAAATGGAGGGTAAAAAAGAAACAGAAGGGCATTGTGGTAAATTAACAACATTAGAAAAAAAATCCCATTTTGATACCTCTAGTCTCATTTGGGATTAGTGGAATCAGAGTCATTCATTTGGGTTTTATAAATTTTAAGGGTATTTATTTGGCACTTTCTCTTTATATTTTGATTTTTTTGACCAAATATTATATTTTAATTAAAAACCTTTAATTTTAATATTAATGCCTTAAATACATGACAAGGACCGCCATAGCGGTGAAAGCGAAACTATCATGTATCATTTCTTATTGGGATAATGTGCTTAAACAAAACATCTAGCATCTAAAAGTTTTTTATGCTTTAAAAGTTTTATTTCATAGTATTTTTGTCCTGAATTATTATCCATTATTAAATTTGACCATTAATGACACTAGTCAAATCTCATAATGTAACAGTCAAATTTAACAGTGCATAACGGTAGGGTATTTTTGTTGCGAAAATAAACTTTCAGGATATATAAAAACAAAAAAAAAAAACTTCGACATGGTGGGTGCTCCTTTGGGGATACTTTCAAGATATTTAAACACCTTAGCCTTTTAAAATACACTAACCACCCTTCTATTTTACTTCAGTTATATAAACTTTTCATCTATTTTGAAAACACATATGAACCTCCATTCAAATTAAAATGTATGCCACACAAACCTTTGTATTTAAGATTCCATTTCCATCCACTTAAACCTTTAGTTGATTGTTAAATTTGACTTTAAATTATTTTTTTAACCAAAATACCCCTTTTAACTTAATAATTAGGTAGACATTTATATTTTCTAAAAAATGTTCTTTATAAAATCAAAAAATAATTCTAACACATATATTTTTAAAATTTCTAATATGTTATAAAATTTATTAATTTCGATCCAAATCATAAAATTTTATAATTTCAATATTTTATCACATTCATTGAAAATTATTTACTTTGATTTTTTATATTATAAAAATATATTTCAAATATATGGTTTTTGTTTATCCTAAAGTTTAAATAATATAAGTTTGAAAGATTTTATTAATTATTTAAATTTATAATTCAAAACTTTTAAACACATTTTTGTTACAATAATTTATAAACATATTTAGTCAAGTATATATATTTATTAAAAAAATTAGTTAAATTTTTAATCAAATCTTTTATATTTGCCTTAACTAAATAAAATTTGTGTAACTGTAAAAGTATAATTTAAAAATTTATTAGAATGAGAGGTAAAATAGTAAATAAAATTCATTTCAATATAAATTTTAATTAAAAATAATATACTTAGAATCTCTTTAGAATATTCTTAACAGTGTTAACTAATTAGACTAAACTATATATTTTTAAAATAAAAAGGAGGTCTATGTAATTGATGTAAACTAAAAAGTTAATCAATATTTTACTCTTATTTTATTTGGACTTTCTAACATAAGATTGAATGTTAATATTAAATTTCAGGGAAAATCCCAAAAAAAATGACTATTGAATTTCAAAATTCTAAATCAGGAATTACTATAAAAATGTATTGTCATTTGCTTTTCAAATGTAGTCATTTTCTTTAGGAGTATAGTAACTAATACTGATTTGGAATTTTAAAATTCAACAATTACTTTTTTGAGATTTTTCCTAAATTTTAATTCATTATTATCCTTTTTGTTTTTTTACACTAATAGATACAAGATTTAAAATAAAAATAACTACCGCATTTCTTTAAAGAAATGAATGTATACTTTGAGAAAAGAACGTTAAAAACACTAAATATGTGGACTGTTTTAAAACACTTTTTTATAAATCGAGACAAACTCTTTCACTTATTTATAAGGGGATATTTGGATAGAATTAAAACTATAATTTTAAAAGTACTTTTACAGTATACAAAGTAAATATATGGAGAATTTTATCTTGATTAGCGAAAAAAATATTTCTAAAAAGCACTTTTCATAGTCTCCAAATACTTTTTTTGTACACTGAAAGTATTTTTAAAATCATAGTTTTGTTTTTCCTCACCCCTAGGCCACCAACAAGTTTGATCAAAGGTCCAACTAATCGTACTGTTCGGCTTGACTCTTTAATAATTGATCCAATCAAACCATCCTATCTACTTCATTCCGGTTCTTTTCTCGTTGATCCAAAGCCTTCCATGCTAAAGTGTGAGTACCAGTAAGAGAAAAATTAACTAAGAAGCAAACACAAGAAGTTTAGGATTATCCTATCAATCAATCAATGAAACGAATCTCACAATAAACTTAGCACCATTAATGTCCTAAGATTGTTCTTAGGTGCAGGAACTTCCGGATAGAGATACCTAAAAGCATAAGTTAGAGATGACCCAAAGTGTCTCTCCCCATCGTCCTGAACTTACCCACTCATCAGACAATAAAAAACCATCCTCTATGGACCTTAGGTTCGTTTTGGTTTAAATCAAGTCCTTTGAACTTGGAAAAGTGTTTTTATTTATATATATATATGGGGTTCAAACGTATTATTAAATCATTCTGAAACTATGCAAAACCATTCCAAGACCTCTTGAATTGGTATATATAATCTGGTGGAGTTGTTTAACACAATCTACGATGGAAGGCCTCTCAGAACTATCTGTACGGACACATGTTGATGCCAGGTTCGCGAACATGGCTATGGATTCCATTGTGTATGAGTTCCTCGCCATTTCTGGATCTATCACCTTCCTCAGCTTCCTCCGATCATTCAATATGTGTCTCACCTTCATAAATGTCGTCATCGCATGTCATCTGTATATGTTAGTTTTCCATCTGCAGAATCATATGACAGAAACCAACCAAATGATTGGTTTGTTCTTTTTGTGCTTTATCATGTACCTGTAATACGAGGTTTTGATCGTTGGGACCCAGGTTCAGATCTACAGCTCGTCGTCCAGTTAAAAGTTCAAGAAGAACAACACCAAATGCGTAAACATCACTTTGCAGCGTCAGTTTCCCTGTCTGTTGTCAAAGCAAAAAAATTCATAACTCATGATATAGTAATAAGAATATCATATCACTCTTGGATATTAACAGAGTTTATTTGTATTAATATTTGCAAAAGTGACTTTTATTTCAATTGCTTTTCGAAAGTAAAAATCAATTAATATAACATGATTTATGTTTAAATAGGTTTTTATAAAAAAAATGAGCGTCAAAATATTCAAATTTAAAGAAAAACCAAAAACCAAAAGCTACAAAGTCTGGCTTCCAGCCTAAGTGACTTTTTCAAGAAGCCTATTTGCTCTCAATTCAAAATTAACAAGATTTTTTTTGCTCCAATTGGCTTTTAGGGGTTCAAAAGTCAGTTTTGATCTTCCCAACTCTATCACAAATAAACAGTAAGCTCTTCATGGCGTGAGTTTTAAAAATTGCTTCTTTTGGTGAGAAGTCTAATATTGACTAAAGTTAAAAATGAAAAAGTTACAAGGTTTTGGATTGAAATATACTTTTGATCCATTTGATAGTTCAATGAAGTATAGAGAGCTAGGAAGATGTTTTGAATGGTAAAGTTCTCTTGAACCTCAATAGATGCTGATAAAACTCGATTTTGACATAGACTCAAATGTGTAGAATAAATTACATACCGATGTATACTCTGGATCAAAGTATCCAAAAGTACCAAGTACTCTAGCTGTGACATGAGTTTCTTGTCCTTCCGGCATAAACTTAGCCAACCCAAAATCTGATATCTGCATAAAAAAATAAAAAAGTTAGTTAATCTCATTAGCCTTGTGCATGCCATTGCTGGAAACAGAAACTCAGGAACTCAATGGGGTTGTTGAGGGTTTGCTTAATTTGTGAAACCTTTGCTTCAAAGTTAGCATTTAAGAGAACATTGGTGGATTTGAAATCCCTATGAACAATTGGAATTCCAACTGCAGAACTTGAATGGAGATAAGCAAGGCCTCTTGCAGCCCCCAGTGCCACTTTGAGTCTTGAAGGCCAATCCATTTTTCTCTCTCCAATGCCTACAAAAATCACTACTCATTAATTAATACTCATAAATCTTTATATCCAAAATTTTTTTTTTTGGTGAGTATATTACGAAAGAGACAAACCATTTAAATGATCTTGCAGGTTCCCATTTTGCATATACTCATAAACCAGGAATCTGTGCTTTCCATCTGCACAATAACCTATCAAGGAAACAAGATTCGGGTGGTCCAATCTGCTCAAGATATCCACTTCCACTCTGAACTCTCTCTCCCCCTCTGCTTCTTTAAATGCTGGCAGCTCCATTTTCTTAATCGCTACAACCTTCAGAAACATTAGAAAGAAAAAAGACATGTTTTTATTACATTATACGTGGTATATCAGAACTCTGGGAATGACATGTTATGATCTGAGGTTGTCTGCTATTTGATGATGAATTTTAGTTCTAAGAAACCTAAGACTACGAAATGAACATAAGATATTAGTACCTCTCCTGAACGTAAAGTGCCTCTGTAGACTTTGCCGAATCCTCCTTTTCCGAGCAGATTATCATCACTGAATGAACATGTTGCTTCTTCCATCTCCCTGAGTGTGAACACAGACGACCCATTATGCCTTCTCTTTGGCTGACGTGTTTGATCCTCAATCTGCCACAACTCCACAGGTTTATATATCCCTGAAACCAACATCTCAATATTATTAGAAATTGCTCTCCGTCATGTATGAAGAAGAAGGAGAAGAAGATGATGATGAAGAAGAAGAAGAAGATTATTACAAGGGTCTGTGTGATCCTGAGACTTGGTTCTACGTCTCTTGTTCCAAGCTGAGACAAACCCAAATGGCATGATGATTCAGGCTTTATCTAGCTACCTTCAATATGGTTCTCTGTAACTTCATGACAGTCTGACAGACATAAAAGGGACAAGAAGAAGAAGATCGATAGAGTAAATAAGTTTGGAAAAAGTTTGCATGGTTCAAGGAGAGTCTTCAAGTGTAAAACAAAAAGAAGGAACAAAACAAAAAGGACATGGCATATGAGAATCAAAGAGGGAGTACGTATAGAGCAAGCGAGGTTAGATGAGAAGAACACTCAACAGCACATTTGGCAACAACCTGGATTTTTCTGAGACACAAACCAGACAAAAGAGGAAGAGATATGATACATGAAACATGTACTTTAAGGAAAAGAGAACTAAGGCAAAGCAAAAGTAGGTATGCTTACCTTTGGGTAAGAAATATATAATAAAGAGAAATCACACACACACACAGTTTTATATCACTGTGATGTTAATTACGTTCAATACATTAATTGCAGGGTTGAAATATTGATAAGGGTGGCAGTTGAGAGAGAGCTTTCATGTGTGTTCCTTCATTACGAATATTATAATTGTCTTGTTCTTTAATCTTTTGATTGTCGTGTGGGGTATACAAGTTTTGTAAATGTGATTGTCACCATCAAAAGTAATGTCTATTATAAGTATAACAAACGATTCTCCTATCAGCTAAAGAGTCACTCCACTTCTCTTTCTCCCTATTTCCTTCCACTTCTCATCTCAACCATTAAGACTAGAAGCTTAACAGTCCAGATTTCATGCCTTTGAAAATAATTTTATGAAGTATATTTTTTATTCTTGTTTTGAATTATACTGACTAAAATTTAGTAGTTTTATTTGATTTTATTTATTTTTGAAATTTTAACATTTTAGTCATAATCTTATAAATATGAAATCTGAATTGTTAAAATCCCAATCTTATTTTTCTCATTTCAACCATTAAGATTGGAAGTTTAGCAATCCAGATTTCATGCTTTTGGAAATAATTTTATAAAGTATTTTTTATTATTGTTTTGAATCATACTAACTAAAATTTAGTAGTTTTATTTGATTTTATTTACTTTTGAAAATTTAACATTTTATTTATAATCTTATAAATATAAAATCTGAACTGTTAAAATCTCAATCTTATTTTTCTCATCTCAACCATTAAGACCGGAAGTTTAACGGTCCAGATTTCATGCTTTTGAAAATAATTTTATAAATCGAAAGTTTAACAGTCCAGATTTCATGCTTTTGAAAATAATTTTATAAAATATTTTTTTATTATTGTTTTGAATTATACTGACTAAAATTTAGTAGTTTTATTTATTTTTGAAAATTTAATTTTTTATTCATAATTTTATAAATATGAAATCTAAACCGTTAAAATCCCAATCTTATTTTTCTCATCTCAACCATTAAGACTCGAAGCTTAACAGTCCAAATTTCATGCTTTTGAAAATTATTTTTTTTATTATTTTGAATCATACTAACTAAAATTTAGTAGTTTTATTTGTTTTTATTTATTTTTGAAAATTTATAATTTTATAAATATGAAATTTGAGCTGCTAAAATTCCAATCTTATTTTTCTCATCTCAACTATTAAGATTGGAAATTTAACACTTCAGACTTCATGCTTTTGGAAATAATTTTATAAAGTATTTTTTATTATTGTTTTGAATCATACTAACTAAATTTAGTAGTTTTACTTGTTTTTATTTATTTTTGAAAATTTAACATTTTATTCATAGTTTTATAAATATGAAATCTAAACTGTTAAAATCCCAGTCTTATAGCTGAGATAAGAAGTGAACAAAAATGAAGAGAAAAGGAAGTGAAGACATCTCCTGCCCTTCCAGAACCAATGGTAATGCAAAATTAGATTAGATGAGAGATAAGTAAAGTAATTAAAGGGTAAATTGGATTTTTTTGGTAAAATTATAAATGATTATTTTTTATAATTAATTTTTTAATTTAAAATATTATCAAAATATATTAAAAAATAATTCAATTTTTTTGTTCCAAAATATTTTAGATAACGAAAACATTTTAATCTTTTTTTATTTAAAAAAAAAATCCTGTATATGCTAAGCCTTATTTTTGTCTTGGTTATTTTGTTTAAAAATTGACAAAATTGAATTTAATTTAAATAATTAATAGTAATTTATTTTATTGAATGATAAAAATCATAAATTTATAGATTGATAGATTGAAAAATATAACCACGTATTAATAGTGATAATTAGATCAATTAGTTAAAAAAAACTTAATACTATGAACTCAAATTGTGCATAAGTATTATGGGTTTCACTTAAAAAGTTTGTTACTCTTCAAAACCAAACTCTAGAAGAGGCTAATCTTTATTTTTTGATGAAAAATATTCTTTGTATTTCAACAAAAAAAAGAACTCAATATTTAATGACACAAGAATTATTTGATGATTGAACTCAAATAGAAAAATATATTAATGGTTTAAAGAAGATTATATGATTCAACATTATATTTTAAACAAAGTCAAGTTGTTATTAATATAATAATAATGATGTAACATGTTAAAAATGAGTTAGCCCAAAAAGCATGCGCAACATGTTGCAGTGTGGGTAATATGTAGGAGTAGGAAGAATGGAATTGGCTTCACATGGCTGAAGTTCATACTGTGAGCCAAAGAATTTGTTGAAAAAAAGAAGGCATAAAGGTCACTCCACTAGCCATGTGATCCATGCCAATTCACCCTTCTTTGTGACTTCCACTACAACAAAGGAATGAGACAATTTAGCTTTTTTTAATTAATAAACACTATTACTTAAATTTTTATTCTTATAAAAAGTTTGACAAGTAATTATTGTTAATAAAAAAATATTTATTAATTTTTCTTAAAATAACAGATGTGTATGATATAAAAATCTATGAAAAGTCATATTATTCATATACATAATCAACCATGCAACTTATCTCATACACTTCATATAAAGCATAAGTCTGCAATTTAATTTGTTTAAAAAAGGTAACAAAAATGTTGGCAAAAAAAGGTATAAAAAATAGTTAAGTATTTTAAAATATAGCTTTTTCAAAATACTAATTAAAATATTTTAAAATACTAATTCCTATTAGTATTTTAAAGTATAGTTTTGTTAGAAAAATGTTTTCACGGATCATAGGTTTTGATTTGGTATTTTTACATTCATACAAATTTTAACTCAAGACCTCACGTTTAAGCAGCCAAAACTCTTCTCCTGGGACCAACGTGTGTTGATGTTTTAAAATATTGTTTTGCCAGAAAAATGGTTTTACGGGTTACAGGTTTTGATCTGGACATAGGAGCTCTGCAAAAATGGCCACAAGTATGAAAGTTATAGCATGGGAAATGTGGTGTTATATAATTTCTTGATCTCTAATGATGAATTAATTCATGGCTGCAGTTATCACAATTCAGAAAAATTCTTGATGGCTAACCTATTTTAAATTTCAAGAGACAATATTATTGTTGCTGTCGTAATTAATTAATTAATACTCCATCAAATTCTCTTTATAAGACTTTTTGTTCCCTCCACGGTAATCATTATAATAAGGCCTCTTATAATTCGTCTGAAATTGTTTTAAATGTCTTTTACTTTAATATTCCGTAACTATTAATTAAAAAACCTTCTAATTTATTTGTCACACCAGATAACGACTTTCTGATTTTATTTTATGTATTGTGTGATGAAACAATCAACCATGTCTCGTTCAAAGATGAAGACCCTAACTCAGTACATGCACATGCTTCAAACAAATAGATACCTTGAACCAAATCATCAATTACATCATATCATCATTAGCATAATATTGTTGGAAAAAACTTGTCATTAATTTCATCCTCTCTATCAACAAAGCTTATGTCAAATTAACTGCCCTTCCTCTCCTAAATAAAGGAATTAATTAGAGAGTTAATTTTGGTCTTAAATGCAAAACTTTAATCTATCTTACTTTTTATATTTATCATTATTTTCTAAACCAATTTATTTAATTTATAAATTGATATCTAACCTATTGTTATATAAAGATATTTTAGAAAAATCATGTTATATTTGTTAAAATTAAATAATCCATTAGCTTTTGCAAATAAACATTAAATACCCCAATTAAGTAGCAAAGTAGTCTATTTTTTCTTTTGGCCCAATGAGCTCAACTACTCCTTCATTAAGAAGAGACTAAAAAGAAGATTGTTCCCATTTTAATCTTTTAAGCTTGCTAGGTTTGTTTCGATTTCCTTTTATCACTTCTAGCTGCATGTAACTTCTCATCCAAAAAAGAAAAATTCTTCCAGCATCCAAGCATGTCTAGACTTCTTGTTGAAGATGATGTCTTTTAACCGGTGACCTGTGTTCTCACTATCATGATCAACCTGTCCTTGTTGGAATGCACTTGGCCTTTTTTATTCTTCATCATGTGATATCTATCACGTATAATTTTTACGGATCTTATTACAAATTAGATGCTCTCTTATTTTCTCAATACTTACTTACCTGTCATTCAAAGACAATTTACATGAGGGCAAAAATGGTCACTACTCTTAAGAGCATTTCTTTAAGCAAATTCTAAAAGCTACTTCACTCCATTATCATATTGGTCACTTGTACTTCTAGTAGCGTTTATTCAATCTATTTATGTACCTAGATGAGGAGACACAGAAATTTAAGTTAAGGAATACTATATAAATTTTGGTAGAGTATCCCTTAACACCTGAACTTCCAAATAATTAATCATCCAATTATCACATTACATAATTAAAAACGAACCTTATAACCAAAAGAATTAATAACAAAATCCACCGAGTTCTTTTTTTTTTTTTTGGGGGTTACAACACCGAGTTCTATTATTGAAGACAACTATGTAAGAAACTAACACTAAAATAAAAAGTCTGATAGTGCTAATAATATAAAACAGATAATTAATTAATATATAGTAGCATCAGGAAGAGGAGTACCATCCCTGAAGTTTTTTAACAATAAAAGTGGTTATGTAACTTCTTCTGGAAGCTCAAATCATAGTACAAGACTTAGTTGACTAATTTAGAGAAATTTAAAAAATTAGTTAAATTTATTATTTATAACAAATACATATTGTCTTTATTAAAATATCTTTGCTAATCATATGTATTAGCTAAAACTACCATTTGGTGGAACATTACCATCTAAACTATTACAGGGGCTACTTTAAAAAAATAGATAACTATGAAGGATAAAATAGATTAGAGTCTTATATTTAAAGTTAAATTAAAAATTAAATTAGCTCTTATATTAAGAAAAAGAGGTAGTATAAAGTTAGTCAAAAACCAAAAAATTAGTTTTTTTTATTCCAATAATACTTGTACAGATGCTCCTAAGAAACAAGTTAAATATGTCAAAGAATCATAACATCCCAAATTTTATGATTTTTAAGAATTGGTCAACAAGTATTTATGAGGTTTGAAGGAATTATTTTAAAAATGAGGGCATCAAAAATATTTTTAATACCAAAAAGCTTAATTTGGGTTAGAAATTAAAACAATAATTATTAAAATTATTAAACGCCTTAAAAAGTTTAAGAAAAATTATGAAATATTATTTTGAGTATTTAGAAAATTTATAAAAAGGATTGTTTGTCCAAAAATGACTTATAATTTTAAACTAATTTCAGGAATCAAAGGAGCCTATTTTTATGGAAAATTCAAGAAAAATAGCTAGAAGTTAACTTTTGACTCAAAAATTTTAGAAAAATTATTTTATAGGCTAAAGAAGCTGATTGGGGAAGAAAATCCACGTAACATATTAAGGATTAATTTCTAAGAATTATCTGATGCTTCAAAATACTACATCTAGTTCTTATTATAAGAGCTAATTAACTAATTTGAGTAGATTAAGAAAATTAGATAAGTTAGTTATTTGTAATAAATATGTGTTGTCTTTTCTAAAATACCCATTAGATGAAATATTTAACATGTGTAATTATTACAAGGACTACATTAGAAAATAAATAAATAATATAAGAGATAAAGTGGATTGGGGAATTAGCATTTATCAAAAAGGGATTAAGTGGAAAACTAGAAAAGAAATGAAGTGGCAAAAGGGTACAAGGAGATCGCACACAGCCACACGTGCTTCTCCGCTTATTAACCATTTGAAAACTTCTCTCCTCTTCATTTTCATTTAGAAACAAAGAGAGGTGAGAGTGAGACAGAGGAAGAGGAAGAGGAAGAGCAAAGAAGAGAGGGAGAGCTGGATCACCTCCATGCAACCCTGATTCTAGACTTAAATGAGCCTTCTAACATCGTCCTACCTTTCTTTCTTTTATCTGTTGCATTTATTGAGCATCCAAACATACAGATAAATATAATGGTAGGGGGTTATAAGACCCATTTGGAATAGTTTATAAGTAGCTTATAAATAATTTTTTAATAGTAATTTACGGAATACAAGGCAAGTATATGAAAAGAGTTCTGTCTCGACTTACGTCAAACGTGTTTATAGGGAATTTTCACTACTTTCCCAAACAGGCACGTAGATACAGTCTTGATGGTGTAAGTTGTGGTGTTGCATGTGTTTGTTGGTTTTGTTTTTGGAATGGCCGAACCAAGCGAGGCCTGTTCTGTTAGCTTAGTGAAGTAAAGAACAACGGATTTAGATACATATATAAACCACTACTAGAGGATGATCAATATCAATATATCTTTTAATAATGAGTCTGTAAAGTTTGTTGGCTGTTAATAAATTAATAACAATTAAGTCAAATAAATGACCAAAGTATGGAGACATACATATGAAAAAGGGGAAATTGCAAAAAAAGACCTTGGAATTGCAAAAACGCAGATAGGGACCCTTGACAACTTCACTTTAGGTTTTGACAACTTCAAGGCATATTATTCTTGTCAAAACCTAAAGTGAAGTTGTCAAGGGTCCCTATCTGCGTTTTTGTAATTCCAAGGTCTTTTTTTGCAATTTTCCCTATGAAAAAAGTATGGAGATCATTCCCATAAGTTTTTGCCGTCATGGGCCTCAATCCTTTCGAAGTTTAACAGCCAACAAACTTTACAGACTCATTATCATTATCATCAGCATCACCGACATTTTTGTTTTTTTGGCAATGCATCACCGGCATTTTGGTTCTACATTTAATTTATAGGTTCAAATTGATCCAATAAATTTTGGCCTAATTATTTGATCCAATTAATTAGTTGCACTAAATTTTGAAACAAGTCAGGTTGATTAATATCACTCAAACTTTTTTAATTCGGCAATTTATTAATTAATTTGCTTAATATCATTATTGATTCTTACAACTTGATCTAATTTTGGCTTTGGTCCCTATAATTTCAAATCATTGGCTCTAGTCCTCATAGTTTTATAAGAACCTGGTCTTAATTTAAGTATAGAAATTAAAATCAAAACCTGTTAAAATTATAAAGACTATTCACAAAACTCATTAAAAAATTACAAAACTATAGAGATTAAAACCAACGATTTGAATAGGGATCAAAATCAATATTTGATCGAACTATGAGGACTAACAATAGTATTAACCCTAATTAATTAACAACCTAGTTTAATGAACTAACAAAACTAACCTGGTTTCCAGAACCATAGCTTTCAAAACTAAAGTCTAAGTGGGTCCAACATTCATATTGAGTCATGTGAGTGAGTACTTCTCCTTGAAAGCTCTGATGCCGTTTCATAAAGTGGTGGTTGGGTTAGTTCCTAATTCATTTACACCTGTTAGTCCTGAACCAGATGATCTTATCTTTATATAAACTTACTTGGCATTCTTCTTCTTCCCCAAGTTCTCCACTCTCACATTATTATATTCCATATTCAGTTTCGGTGTTAAGCCATGGCTGCCACTGGAAAGATTGAGGTAGAAGTAGAGGTGAAGTCTAATGCAGACAAGTTCTGGCAAACCCTTAGGGATTCCTCCTCCATTTTCCCTAAGGCACTTTCACATGACTATAAGAGCATTGAAGTTATTGAGGGTGATGGCAAAGCCCCTGGTTCTGTGCGCCACATTTTTTATGGTGAAGGTACTTATATGCATTCTTCCTTCATACAATTAACCCAAACCCGACAATCATCTATTGCCTTTTAGAGTTAATACGCAAATTTATCAGTTTTTACTCAAGAATATTGGATACTAGAAAGTTTTTTTGAGTGCAAATTTCTCTTGGAATTTTAAAATCATAATATTACTCCCTACAATTGAAAAACTAATGTTCACTATTAAACTAGTGTCACTAACTGTTAATATTTTTAATAGTACAAATAACATTACTATGATTTTAAACTTCTGAAACAAATTTGCATCCTAAAAAAACTTCCAAATGACCAGTACTCCTGAGTGAAAACTTCTGAGGTAAATTTATATTTTAATCCTTACTTTTGATCTTTTTTCCTTTTTTTTGGGCGTGACTATGATATATGATGTTACCGACTAATACATATTTGAGTATTACTGGACCCAGATGGGAGATGGCTCTTTTTACATGTTTAGAACCCACAACTTTGCTCAATGGATATTGAATCCACATCGCTCAAATAATAATTATTCGGTATTTGATACTATCGATTTGAGTATTGATCCAACTGGGGTACGTTGTTTCTTCACACAATCACTCAAACGGTCAAACCCAATGATCATCTAGTAATGACTCTGATTTCCGATGTTACCAATTAATACGTATACGGGTATTGCTGGACTCAGATGGGAGATAGTTCTTTCAGCATAGTTAGAACCAATGACTTTGTTTAAGGAATATTAAATCCATTTTATTCAATCTAACCATACTTAGTTGTACCTATTATTTACATAGCTATCTGGTATCTGAATCCATATTTAAGTATCATCCTATCCAAATAAGGTAGCTTTTCTAGTATGATTTTTCCTTAGAGAGAATGAAAATTAATAACCTTGTAAGGAATTTGGTGTAAAACGAGGACATGTGCGCAATTAAAACTTCATATTTTACAATTTGATAGTCCTCATTTTACGTCAATCTTCTTACGAGGTAATTTTAAGGGATCTTGAACTCCTTGCGATGAACTCAGTTATTATTGGTAGTAATGCCTGTTTCTCAATATTTGAAGATTTAATTAATGCCCTCACATGAGAGGTTTACTTTGTAGGTTCTCCTATAGTGAAGGAATCAAAGGAGAAGATTGAAGCACTTGATGATGCAAAGAAGACAGTGACATACAGTGTCATTGATGGTGACCTCCTCAAATACTTCAAGCACTTCAAGGGACACATCAGTGTGACACCAAAGGGAGAAGGCAGCCTTGTGAAGTGGTCATCTGAGTATGAGAAGGCAAGTGAAGAGATCGCTGACCCACATGTCATTAAGGATTTTGCAGCCAAGAACTTCCAGGAGGTTGATGACTATATTCAGAAGGCAAAATAGAGAAAGCTCTGAAATGAATCTCAAGTGCCAATCATAATCATATATCAGATTACATGTTTAAATAATGAAAGATACTTTTAACAGTATCATTTCCCATCAATCAGTCAATATATCATATAAAACTTCAATGATTTCTACTGTTCTGGTTTAGTTTCAATTTGCATGATCCAAGAATGCCATAGCCTTGTGCTATGCTTTTCTGTTGCCATATCTATCAGTTGTTCTCTTTTGTTAGTCATGATTCTACTATTGATCAATTTGAGTTTGAGAATATAAAGAGTATTGGCATATATCTGAGAATTATTTATTCTCTTGATGTTCTCATAAATTGAATTAAGAGAAATTTATAACCGAGATTGCTAAACATTTTGAAGCAGAGTTAACATAACATAATCAGTGGCCACAGCACAGTGCTTGAGTTGCTGCAAGTGAATCACGCCCATGAAAAATTCTGGATTATACTTTCATATGAAGTTATTTAATTGGGATAACCAAAAAAATAAAGGGTACCTTGTGAAACTAATAAATTAACAAGTAATGGTATTTGCTCAAACTTGCATAATTAAGCACATGATTACAACTGAAAATCAACTCGTTGATTAACTATTTTGGTTCAAATATTTTTACATGATTCATCAACAATCAACAGTAGTTCTTGCACTGTTCTTATTGCCATCAAGGCTGTCTGCGAATAAGATCTGGAGCTAACATTTACAGTTTATGAGCAACCATTTATATAATATCATCCCCAAATCAATTATTATTTACAAGATTTCAGAAGTACATCAAATTAGTTGATTTCATTCCTAAGCATAGCCCCATTCTCTTTGTGAAAAGAGAACGTGACTTCATACCATCAGCAACTTGCAGATCTTCCAAAATTGTCTGCTGAACAAGATAGCATCTTTTGTGCCTGCCATTCCATTTATATATATATATATATATATATAGAGAGAGAGAGAGAGAGAGAGAGAGAGAGAGTTTCTTTTTTAATCTCCCTCTAACTTGGAGGACACTTCATAAGCGTCTTCAAATGATCCCCATCCCACATTTCAATATCTGTTAAGTCTTGTTTTGCAGCAGAGGAGCAGTATGGCAAGATGACTCCAGGTTTTCAAACCTTGCTTCAGCCTTCCTCTCTTCTTTAGCTTTGCCCCAAATCACAGCATAAAATCCCAACACAATTATAACCGCGCCCACCAAACTGCAGGACATTCATTCAAGATCTTTTGCTGTCAATAACACAACTAATCAAAAACTGAACATTATTAACAATTTTCATGAGATTAAAAAAATAAGCAAAAAGTACCTGAATATCAGAAATTTTGACAACTTCCTAAAACAATCTTTTTGATTGGTATAGTTTATTGGGAGAAGAAAGATAGGGAGGATGGGAAAGCAAGAGTGAAAGAGATAAGGGTATTTTTGAAAATGTGCAATGAATGTTTTATTAATTTTTGTAAAAGGTCTTGTATTAAGAACCAATAAATAAGATCTTACAAAAACAACCAAAGAGAGCACATATACATACACATGCACATAGAAATGAATGTTTTATTAAATTTGGTAGGACCAATAAATAAAATCTTATAAATAAGACTGAAGGGAGTATATGTGTGTGTGTAAGATAGTAGATAATATCTGGTATTCAAATGTTACCTTCCAAGGTGAAAATCATCCCCCAGAAAAAGTGCACCCATGATAACAGTGAAAATGATTCCTACAGGCTTGAACATTGTACAAAACAGAGGTCCAGCTTTCTTCACACTCCATGTGTATAGAATGAAGCGAATCACTACGGCAACCACTGCCTATGTGATGAACTACAAGTTAGCATTATGAATAACTAAAAACACTCAAGTTTTATTTTCTAGCTACCTTCATAATTGCAGTTTCTTTTAATTTCCATCACCTAACTTTCCTACCTACCAAGTAAGTTTTCAAACAACCATATGAACTCTAAAGTGAAGTGGAGGTATATTATTGAATAAATTGATATTTCCTATCAAAAGCACTGCGGAGTACTAAGGGTCTGTAATCAGAAACCTCTCTCCTCATCTTATGTTTCTTCTCATACCAGCATTTGAACTAAGTATCCCTATGTTACATGAAACCAGTTTTGATACTCATCAAAGTGAAAAGCGCTCCAAGCTCATCATATATGCTGATGAGCACCTAAACTCATTCTTATATTACACCTTGAAGGACTCGCCAACCAAATCTGCAAGCTGAGAAAGCTCTCTCTAATTAAATGTGGAAATCTCTTTTTTTCTTTTTTCTTTTTTTAAGAAATCCACTTGTCATTTGTACCAAACATAGCCAGCCCTGTAGCTTAGTGGAATTAGAGCTCCCTTGTAAATAGAAGGTCATAGGTTTAGTCATGCTTGTAACCTCGAGCATCTACCTCTTTAATTCAAAAAAGAAAAGCAAAAAACAAAAAGAAATCTATGCCAAAAACAGTCAAAAATACTTTCCCTTAATCCCTTTTCCTTCCATTTCCTTTCCATTAAGTGCTCACCAAGTATAAATGAATTTCTATGAGAAAACCAACTAATGTTGGTCAAGTTAGAAAAGATTGGCCCATAGCCCTCAAGCATGTAATTTTGAATGGCGCTATCGATATTGTTTATAATATTGAGATCGTAGATGGAAGTTAGAAAAATTTTCATGAGTATTCTTAGCAAAGGATGCTACCTGGTAGATAATGCAAACCAAGCCCATGTCAAGTCTTAAGACCCATGCTGATAGATCTGCAACTACAATTATGGCAAATATTGCTGACAGAATTGTTGAGAAGAGAATTTGGAAGAAGACTACCACCATTACAGAAGGGTAGCTCTTAATGACTGATGCCTGAAACATTTTGCAAAAGAGAAGCAAAAATCAATTTTCCCTACTTATACACTACACAATACACTATTTTGGTTACAGTTTCAAAGGAAAATGAACATAACCTGGTAAATGTACCAAAGTGAAGCAATGAAAGATTCAGTAGCTAAATAAAAGCCTCCAAGGACCCAGTTGGATTGTGTTAACGACAAAACCTGCTTATAAGAAGATGCTGAAGAATGATTCTTGAAGATTGGTGGGCCCTTGTAGAATATCACAACAAATGCTCCACCAATTGATACTATTGTTCCTAACACTTTGGCTTGGCTGCTCTTTTCTCCGAAATCTACTATTTCCATCCTGAACAATTAAAATTGAGGCAGTACAAGTTCAATTCACATGCTATAATTACATCACTAAGTGTATGGTACAAAAAAAATCATTGTGCCATTTACTAACACAAATGAAAAATGATGGAAAAAATATAGGATGAAGGTACATTTAGCATCCTGAATTATTTTTTCATGTGCATTTAGTCTCATAAAGTATTTTATAGTGCATCAAGCACCCTAAAATATTTTTTCAAGTGTATTTAGCACCCCAAATTATATTTTTGATCTAAACCCTGAAATATTTTTTCAAGTATGTTTAGCACCTTAAATTATTTTTTAGTGCATCTTGCACTTTAAATTGTTAAATGTAAAATTGTACTAAAAAATACTTTAAGGTGCTAAACGTACATGAAAAAATATTTTAAAGTGATTGATGCACTACAAATTACTTTAGAACATAGGATACATATAGAAAAATGTTTCATATCTTCAACCAAAAATATATATAACATAATCTTATTGATATTCACAACCTTTTTTTTTTAAATTACGTTGCCCCTTTTGAGTCTAGTTTTGGTACTTGCAGTGATAAGTATTATAGTACTCATTATTGCAATGATGACAACCATATTTGTGGTTATCATTTAGAGTGAAGAGTAATGAAACCCTTTCCCATTCTATCCTGCTATGTACATCCATTTCCATTTCTAAGAAATGCATTGGGTCTAAATCATAATTAAGGCATCGTCAAAATGAATGATAATATTAAGAAGGGTTAAGGTGTAAATTTATTTTGAAAGTTTTTGCAATGTTGTCTCGGATGTTTTTTTGGGTTCAAGGTCATCCCAGAAGTGTTAAAATAGAGGAATGTTACCTCTTACCGTTAAAAATGTTAACAATCAACATCAATTTTTCAACAGTCAATGTTGATTCTTTAACAAAATGGGACAACATTGCTATATTTTAAACTTTTAAGGTGACATTGAACCCAAAAAACTTCCAAGACAAAGAAAGAACTTCTAGCACAAATTTGCATATTAACCATATTAATAATTCAAGTTCTTCATAATTTTATGGCATAATTAATATACAACTTCTTATAGTTTTAACTAATTTTTAATCAATTCTTTATATTTTTTCTATTTTATCAAATCCCTAACTTTTATTCAAATTCCTATAGTTTCAAGTGATTGATAAAGAGACAAAAAAAAACTATAGGAACTTGATTAAAAATAGATGAAACTATAAAGATCTCATAAAAAAATTATAAGAACTCAATTAAAAATAGATGAAACTATAAGGACTTGTTGAAAAAAATATAAAGACAAAATTAAAAATTATGTGAAATCGTAGAGACTTGCAAATTATATTATTCATTGCTGCAGTGAGATCAACACGATTCAGGCGTAGTTTATATCGCCAAAATTAGATAATGACCACCATATTTGTGGCCATCGTTTAGGGTGAAGAGCAATGAAACCCGTTCCCATCCTTTCTTGTTATTTACATCCCTTTCCACTGGTTCTAAATCATAATAATTAAGGCATCATCAAAATGAATGAAAATATTAAGAAGGATTAAAATGCAAATTTATTTTCAAAGTTTTCACTCAAGAGTAATGTTGTTTCAGAAGTTTTTGTGGGTTAAAAGTCACCCCTGAAGTGTTAAAATGGAGCAATGCTATCCGTTATCATTAAAAACTAACCACTAACTTCAATTTTTTAACAGTTAATGTTTTTTATTGCCATCTTTAATGGTCAATGTTGGTTTTCTAGCAGAGTAAGGCAACATTGCTACATCTTGAAATTTTTGAAGTGACATTAAACCTAAAAAAACCTTCCCACCAACATTGCTCATGAGCAAAAACTTTCAGAGCAAATTTTACAACTTAAACCTAACATGCAACTTCTTATAATTTTAATAATTTTTAATTAAGTCTCCATAGTTTTCCCCCTTTCCATCAAGTTTCTATAGTTTTTCTGTTTTTATCATGTCCTTATGGTTTTTCAGTTTTACCTGATTTTTAATGAAATTCTTGTAATTTCAAGTCATTGATAAAATGACCAAAAAAAACTATGGAAACCTGATTAAAAATAGATGAAATTATAAGGATCTAATAAAAAAAATTATAGTGGCTTGATTAAAAATATATGAAACTATAAAGATTTGGTTAAAAATTATAGAGACTTTAAATATATGAAACTATAAGAAAAAAATATAGACAAAATAAAAAAATTGTGTGAAATCATAGAGACTTGCAAATTAATTATCCCTGGATCTTAATAATAACGCAACAGTGTTGGCAAAAAAAAAACGCAACAGTGAAACAGTTTTTTGGGTCTATTTTATTAGCTTTATTGTCAAAACTATAAGTATTAACCATAGAAAATTTTTGGTGAAAAAAATACAGAAATTTCAAATAAATTATGGCATTATTCAATTTTGGCATATTGCATCCCAATCCTGCTTAAAAATTACGCAGTGATATCCTTTTCTCTCTCGTAGGCAAGCACAAAGAAAGCTGTATTCTTTTTGAAAAATCACAAGCAGAGATGAATGCCAAAAAACAAAATTAGAAAAAGAAAAAAAAAAACAGAACCTGAAAATGAGAGCAAGCACAAAAGTGAAAGCAGGAATAAGGTTCAGCAAGGCAGCGGCCATTGTCGGTGAGCTTAAATCTAAGCCAACATAAGCAAGTACAGTCCCTGAGCTTCTGCAATATGGTTAAGTGATTTCACTGTCATCAATATCAAAACATTCATTTATATCTATAGAACTTGTCAGAAGTGGAAAAAATTGCAGAGTTATACAAATATGGAAGTGAAGAAGGAAGCAAAAGAGTACAAACCCAAAGATGGCAAGCAAGAAGAATCTGCAAATGGAGGAGAAGTTAAGAGGAGGTGCTTGAGACCTGAGAAAGAAAGAAGAAGACAGGTAACCGTACTGTTAAAACTTAAAACCCTAAAAATGGCAGAGAGTGGGAGGTTGGAACCTGTGGAAAAGGAAGGCGATGAAGGGAAGAAGGAGAAAAGATGAGAGAGCGTAGGAGTAGAAAGCCAAGACATATGTGTTAATGCCACCATTGAGGGCAATTTTGGTTACCACTTGGCTTATTGTTTGTATCAGAATAGCCACCACCATTCCCACAAATGGTCCAATCTTCCCCATTTTCTTCTGCCTCAGATGTTGAGGTTGCAGAGACTTGTGTTTTGCTACCCCAAAAAGGCTTGGAATTTGTTCAATTTTATTTTTCCATTTTAGGCTTATATACTATTGATTATTAATTTTTAAGTTTTCGAGAAGAAAGAGAATGATTCAAATTATAGGGAGAAGACCTTGTGCTTTTTATTGGCCAGAATTTGAGTGGAGGGAGACCCTACAAAAAGTGGGGAAGAAAAACGTGTCCGTGAACTTGTATTTTTTTTTTTTGGTGTACATAATATATTTTTTATTTAAGTTGAAATGAATAAATTTTGCATTTAAAACTAATTAAAAAGTAATAACAACAAAGTTAATTATCAAATAAAATATAAATAGAAAACATATGTGTCAGTTTAATTCAGCAAAAATACGCCATATGTAAGTTTTTTGTTTTTATATACAAAGGAGGAAGGATTAGAGATTAATTAACAAGAGGGATAAATAAGTTAAATTACTTAGAAAAGCAATGATTATGGAAGAGACCCCAAGATGGCCGATGTGGGGGCAAGTTCAAGTGCACATCAATTTCATTGGTTAAACGATTGCTTTGTGGTGCCCACTTATCCTTTTATTGAGTGGCCATTTCTCCATTGTCCTTTTTTATGAACTTTTAAACCAAAAATCACGTGGCAAGATATTTTGGATATATATACTTGTTTTTTGTATTAGGAGTTGAGTATAGTAAAAAGATTAATTTTCATAAACTAAAATTTAAATCTCTATTTAAAAGAAAGGTTGATATTTAATATCCAATAATATTTTGAATAGGATTATATCTATAGACAAAAAAAATTGATTTTTGTTTCCGTTGTAGTGAATTTTATTCTTCCAATAGAATGCTTATAGCCATGAGACCTTTGAACTCATTAACTAATTTCTTAAGTCTTTTTTTAGTAAATAACTAATTTCTTAAGTCTTTTTTTTAGTAACTCCGTAGTAGGTATGGCGGATATATGGTTCCGGCCGTCTTCATGAGTGAAAGATAATTTTAAGAAAAAGAGAGAGAGTAGGGACAGCGCCAACTAGAACTCCACAATTTCAGTTTATCTGTCCTTTTAGAATTGAAGATGAAATGTTTATTAAAAAAACAAAACAAAACAAAAGAATTGAATTGAAGATGAAACTACACTTTCAGTATATTTTCTTCCTATCTATCTATTTATATATGAAATAACTTAGGCTAGACGGCATTCAAACCCATAGTTTTATTTAGAGATTATTTGGTTTTATTGAAGGAAGAATGATAAATAAAGAAGCTTGAAATTATAGTATTCTAGTTTACACATCTAACGTTTCAAAATAACAACAACAAAAAGTAAACACAAATTAAAAATTTGAATTTAAGAAAAATAATAAAAATTTCTTTTTATTTTCTTTTATAAAAAAAAAGTTTGGAACCCCTCTCCGGCACACAGCAACCAGGTGGTTCTCCAACTAAAAAGTGACTACTAAGCTAACAAATTTTGTTAACATTATAATGTAAAAGTAATAGTAGTAGTAATAATAATAATAATAAGTTAACTCCTTTATTTTGACTTTAACTGTGACAACAGTCAATCTAAGAATAAAAAAATTTTAATTATAAAATGACATGTCTAAACTTGGGATTAATAACACATTTTTTTTCTTAATACGTATAAATTAATTAAAAATGAAAGTAATTCATCTGAAAATTGTAACATTTTAATTTTTATTCTTAGTGTTTAATTACGTTTAGAAAGAGTTTAATGCTTAATAAATGATTTTTATTCTCTATTTATTTAAGAAAAGAGCATTATTGAAAATAAGATTTATAAAATATATATACATATAAGAAAATTACTGAATAATAATAATAATAAAGATAAAAAAAGAAGAAGAAGAAAATGCATAGAAAATGAAAAAGATAGGGTACCAAACTGTAATTTTGTCCCCATTTAACATGGTGTCTTTAACCGAAATTTACCCCAAAATGATACTTTAACGGTTGGGAGTGGGGTCAAGAGCATCGTCTTTCTTTTTTGGGAAAATGACATTAAGGTCCCACACAAGAATATATACAGCAAAAAAGTCCCCTAAAATCTCATAATTTTTTTGAAGTTCCAAAGAAACTTGTGTGCAATTTTCAGAATTTTCAAATTACTCTCATGCCCTTGCTATCAGAAACAAAGATGGTGGGTGAGGAGTTCTCGCGCAATATACAGAGAGAAGACGTTAGGAAAGAGGGAAGGAACCATTGATGATGAAGTATCTTCTCTATTACCTTTAGTGAACCCCAAAGAGCTTCCATGTGAATCTCCACGAATCTTCAGGTATGAAACTTTCTTTCCTCTCCTCTCCTACCTTTTTTGACAGATTGTGAATTTGTTTGGGAATACGAAATCAGAAAATTGTTTTTGTCTTTTTAGGTTCTTATGGGTGGTTTTAGGAATGAGATTCACAAGTTAATCAATAGAAAAACTGTGTTTTTGTTGGTATGTGTTGGTGATATAAGTTGGGTGTGTAGGATGATCATGGGTGCTCTATTTTTGTGTTGCTTGTGGGTGGTTTTGCTCTGTTCTGACGTTAATTCAGTGGCAAAGAAAGAAAAAGATGAAGGTTAGTGTGGATGGAAACCCTGGGCACGAAATGGGATATTGTGTTGTCAATCAAGTCGCGATAGTTATCAATATGTGCCGCGACAGTTGTCAATACAGCTCCATGACTTGTCAATGACAGTTACGTGATTCTTGATGCAGGTTTAAATTACTGATGGTGGTTACATCTGAAAAGTATCTATTTTGCTCTGTTCACATAGGTGGAAAGTTTATAAATGATGGAGAAGATGATATGAAATATGTGGAAGGTAGTGTAAGAACAACAAATGTAAAGGAGGACACAAGTTATGAAGAATTGAAGGAGATTATATCATCAATTGCTAGAAAAGAAAGCAACTCATTTCTTTTGAAATTCTCAGTTGTGTTTGATAAAAAAAAAAAACTTTTGTGGAGTTGGTAGATGATGATGGGGTAGAACATTTGATAAAATTCAATGAAGAAAGTGGTCATGTATATGTAGAAGAGAATGGAAATAAGAACCATATAGAAGCACAAGGGATAATACAATGGAGGAGCAAAATGTGTAAGTTTAGTTTAACAAATCTGTTATTGTCATTTCTTGGTATGTCAGTTATTACTATCTTGCTACCAACTTGTTAATGCATGCATCCTGACTTGTCATTTCCTGCAAAATTGATCAATCATTTAGAGGTGTCAATGAATTGTCTATGTCTCCACCTACGTTATCTGATGTGATTGGAGAGCCAACATTAATTCCTTGTGCTGTTGAAATGATCCTAACACCTACACCACAAATGAATTCCACAAAATGGAAGGATTTGATTATTGGAAAAGGACAAATATTTCCAAATGCCATTACTCTTCAAGAAACATTATACAAGTACAGCTTATCCCAGAAGTTTTCATACCTTTTTAAGAATAATCAGCAAAAGATCATTGTGAAGTGTAAGGTTGATGGTTGTCCATGGTATCTGGTTGCATATTGAATAGGAGCACATCAAGATATTGAATTTTTAACTATCAGAACATACAAAAGTGAACACATTCATCATGCATAGGACAATTTAATTGTTTCTCACTCAAAAAAGTCAAATTTAGCTGCTTCAATTGTGATTGATGACTTGAAGTGCAATGTTGACAAGAGTCCTAATGAAATTAGAAAGGACTTGTATAAAGAATATGGAGTGTAATTGAACTATACTCAAGCATATATGGTCAAGAAGAGAGCACTAACGAAATTACATGGTCGAGTAGAAGATTCTTATAAGGTAATCCCTTGGATGTGTGAGAGATTAATGGAAACTGATCCTGATACAGTTGCAAGATGGGAAGGCTCAGATAGCAACTGATTTGAGAGGCTATTCATTGCATATGAATGCTTAATTAAAGGCTGTGTGCAAGGTTACAGACCAATTATTTATATAGATGGATGTCATTTGAGTGGTCCTTACAAATGAACTTTATTATCAGCTTGTGCATTTGATGCAGATAATGAGTTGTTTCCCTTAGCATATGGTATTGTTAGTGGAGAAACACATGATGAATGGGCTTGGTTTCTATAGAATCTGAAGGAGACAACCAGATCAGCACAAGTGACAATTGTCTCCTATCAGAGTAATGCTATCATCGGTGTTGTTAGGATAGTATTTGATGAGGAGAGACATGTTTTTTACTATCGACATGTGAAAGAAAATTATAGTACGCAGTATGTGAAAATCAATAGAGGTGTGAGACAAACCTTAGAAAATAACATGAAAATGCACTTGATTTACTTGATGAAATCGCATATGCAAAGCATGACAATGAGTTTAATGTTGCAATGGAAAATTTAAGATTGTTTTGTCCACAATTGGCACAATGGGTTGAATCTCATGGGGATGTGGATAGATGGGCGCAAAGTAAATTTCCTTTTAAGAGATGGGATAACATCACCAATAATCTTGTTGAGTCTGTTAATGGATGGATGCTGAAAGAAAGGAAGCATGCTTTGCTGGTTTTGATACAAGAGCATCAAGAGAAGTTGGTCAAGAAGATGGTTGCTAGCAAAATAGGGATGAGAAGCTAGAAAAATGGTATAGGACCCAATATTGAATTAAAGTTGTCAAAACAAATAGCAAGAGGTGCATATATGGAGGCAACATATTACGGTGATAACCATATTTCGGTGCAAACAATGCGTGAGGGACGCATCATCTATGTGACTGTTGATCTTATTTCTCACAGATGCACATGTTTGGCATGGCAAATGAGTGGAATACCTTGTCTACATGCGTGTGCAGCAATCAAACTAGTTCACCGTAGCGTGTATGATTATGTAGATGATTGTTACGAATTGTCCACACAGGAGAAAATATATGCAAATAGCATGAGACCAATTGCAACGCATGATTACCCACAGTCTGATGCACCTAATATGAC